GTCACAGAGGTACATTTCGGACTCCTTACCTCTTCCGGTTCCCAAATTAGGTCCATTTGATGTTCCTCCCTTGGATTGAGACCGTTTCACTCATGTTTGTCCTCATAGTCATGTGTAGAACCTATTAATCCATGTTTGGGTAAGTATGGGTCCATCTAGTTCATCTTATACACTACAAGTGAGTTTCCACAATGTGGAGTCACAGAGGTACATTTCGGACTCCTTACCTCTTCCGGTTCCCAAATTAGGTCCATTTGATGTTCCTCCCTTGGATTGAGACCGTTTCACTCATGTTTGTCCTCATAGTCATGTGTAGAACCTATTAATCCATGTTTGGGTAAGTATGGGTCCATCTAGTTCATCTTATACACTACAAGTGAGTTTCCACAATGTGGAGTCACAGAGGTACATTTCGGACTCCTTACCTCTTCCGGTTCCCAAATTAGGTCCATTTGATGTTCCTCCCTTGGATTGAGACCGTTTCACTCATGTTTGTCCTCATAGTCATGTGTAGAACCTATTAATCCATGTTTGGGTAAGTATGGGTCCATCTAGTTCATCTTATACACTACAAGTGAGTTTCCACAATGTGGAGTCACAGAGGTACATTTCGGACTCCTTACCTCTTCCGGTTCCCAAATTAGGTCCATTTGATGTTCCTCCCTTGGATTGAGACCGTTTCACTCATGTTTGTCCTCATAGTCATGTGTAGAACCTATTAATCCATGTTTGGGTAAGTATGGGTCCATCTAGTTCATCTTATACACTACAAGTGAGTTTCCACAATGTGGAGTCACAGAGGTACATTTCGGACTCCTTACCTCTTCCGGTTCCCAAATTAGGTCCATTTGATGTTCCTCCCTTGGATTGAGACCGTTTCACTCATGTTTGTCCTCATAGTCATGTGTAGAACCTATTAATCCATGTTTGGGTAAGTATGGGTCCATCTAGTTCATCTTATACACTACAAGTGAGTTTCCACAATGTGGAGTCACAGAGGTACATTTCGGACTCCTTACCTCTTCCGGTTCCCAAATTAGGTCCATTTGATGTTCCTCCCTTGGATTGAGACCGTTTCACTCATGTTTGTCCTCATAGTCATGTGTAGAACCTATTAATCCATGTTTGGGTAAGTATGGGTCCATCTAGTTCATCTTATACACTACAAGTGAGTTTCCACAATGTGGAGTCACAGAGGTACATTTCGGACTCCTTACCTCTTCCGGTTCCCAAATTAGGTCCATTTGATGTTCCTCCCTTGGATTGAGACCGTTTCACTCATGTTTGTCCTCATAGTCATGTGTAGAACCTATTAATCCATGTTTGGGTAAGTATGGGTCCATCTAGTTCATCTTATACACTACAAGTGAGTTTCCACAATGTGGAGTCACAGAGGTACATTTCGGACTCCTTACCTCTTCCGGTTCCCAAATTAGGTCCATTTGATGTTCCTCCCTTGGATTGAGACCGTTTCACTCATGTTTGTCCTCATAGTCATGTGTAGAACCTATTAATCCATGTTTGGGTAAGTATGGGTCCATCTAGTTCATCTTATACACTACAAGTGAGTTTCCACAATGTGGAGTCACAGAGGTACATTTCGGACTCCTTACCTCTTCCGGTTCCCAAATTAGGTCCATTTGATGTTCCTCCCTTGGATTGAGACCGTTTCACTCATGTTTGTCCTCATAGTCATGTGTAGAACCTATTAATCCATGTTTGGGTAAGTATGGGTCCATCTAGTTCATCTTATACACTACAAGTGAGTTTCCACAATGTGGAGTCACAGAGGTACATTTCGGACTCCTTACCTCTTCCGGTTCCCAAATTAGGTCCATTTGATGTTCCTCCCTTGGATTGAGACCGTTTCACTCATGTTTGTCCTCATAGTCATGTGTAGAACCTATTAATCCATGTTTGGGTAAGTATGGGTCCATCTAGTTCATCTTATACACTACAAGTGAGTTTCCACAATGTGGAGTCACAGAGGTACATTTCGGACTCCTTACCTCTTCCGGTTCCCAAATTAGGTCCATTTGATGTTCCTCCCTTGGATTGAGACCGTTTCACTCATGTTTGTCCTCATAGTCATGTGTAGAACCTATTAATCCATGTTTGGGTAAGTATGGGTCCATCTAGTTCATCTTATACACTACAAGTGAGTTTCCACAATGTGGAGTCACAGAGGTACATTTCGGACTCCTTACCTCTTCCGGTTCCCAAATTAGGTCCATTTGATGTTCCTCCCTTGGATTGAGACCGTTTCACTCATGTTTGTCCTCATAGTCATGTGTAGAACCTATTAATCCATGTTTGGGTAAGTATGGGTCCATCTAGTTCATCTTATACACTACAAGTGAGTTTCCACAATGTGGAGTCACAGAGGTACATTTCGGACTCCTTACCTCTTCCGGTTCCCAAATTAGGTCCATTTGATGTTCCTCCCTTGGATTGAGACCGTTTCACTCATGTTTGTCCTCATAGTCATGTGTAGAACCTATTAATCCATGTTTGGGTAAGTATGGGTCCATCTAGTTCATCTTATACACTACAAGTGAGTTTCCACAATGTGGAGTCACAGAGGTACATTTCGGACTCCTTACCTCTTCCGGTTCCCAAATTAGGTCCATTTGATGTTCCTCCCTTGGATTGAGACCGTTTCACTCATGTTTGTCCTCATAGTCATGTGTAGAACCTATTAATCCATGTTTGGGTAAGTATGGGTCCATCTAGTTCATCTTATACACTACAAGTGAGTTTCCACAATGTGGAGTCACAGAGGTACATTTCGGACTCCTTACCTCTTCCGGTTCCCAAATTAGGTCCATTTGATGTTCCTCCCTTGGATTGAGACCGTTTCACTCATGTTTGTCCTCATAGTCATGTGTAGAACCTATTAATCCATGTTTGGGTAAGTATGGGTCCATCTAGTTCATCTTATACACTACAAGTGAGTTTCCACAATGTGGAGTCACAGAGGTACATTTCGGACTCCTTACCTCTTCCGGTTCCCAAATTAGGTCCATTTGATGTTCCTCCCTTGGATTGAGACCGTTTCACTCATGTTTGTCCTCATAGTCATGTGTAGAACCTATTAATCCATGTTTGGGTAAGTATGGGTCCATCTAGTTCATCTTATACACTACAAGTGAGTTTCCACAATGTGGAGTCACAGAGGTACATTTCGGACTCCTTACCTCTTCCGGTTCCCAAATTAGGTCCATTTGATGTTCCTCCCTTGGATTGAGACCGTTTCACTCATGTTTGTCCTCATAGTCATGTGTAGAACCTATTAATCCATGTTTGGGTAAGTATGGGTCCATCTAGTTCATCTTATACACTACAAGTGAGTTTCCACAATGTGGAGTCACAGAGGTACATTTCGGACTCCTTACCTCTTCCGGTTCCCAAATTAGGTCCATTTGATGTTCCTCCCTTGGATTGAGACCGTTTCACTCATGTTTGTCCTCATAGTCATGTGTAGAACCTATTAATCCATGTTTGGGTAAGTATGGGTCCATCTAGTTCATCTTATACACTACAAGTGAGTTTCCACAATGTGGAGTCACAGAGGTACATTTCGGACTCCTTACCTCTTCCGGTTCCCAAATTAGGTCCATTTGATGTTCCTCCCTTGGATTGAGACCGTTTCACTCATGTTTGTCCTCATAGTCATGTGTAGAACCTATTAATCCATGTTTGGGTAAGTATGGGTCCATCTAGTTCATCTTATACACTACAAGTGAGTTTCCACAATGTGGAGTCACAGAGGTACATTTCGGACTCCTTACCTCTTCCGGTTCCCAAATTAGGTCCATTTGATGTTCCTCCCTTGGATTGAGACCGTTTCACTCATGTTTGTCCTCATAGTCATGTGTAGAACCTATTAATCCATGGATGGGAGAGAGAGGTGAACTCTTTAGACAAATCTCATTGAAAATCAAGCAAGGAACTGTCGACATGTATGCCAATCCCCTTGACAAGAGTTATTAAGATTGATTAAGGGTGAGGTTAACTCTAGATTGCTTGGTTACCTTAGAAATTTCGCTGAGCTAGCATGCTGATCCACTCTAGGAGCTTCTGTTAGGCTTGTGCCTTCAGCTGATGTTTGCTCTAGGGTCATAGATTGTTAGCATAACACTATCAAATCTCAAAGCAAGTTCATTGTTCCCGGACTGGTTTTGACTCAATAAAACAGAAGTTTTGAAAAAGTGGGTTAGGAAAAACCAATTATAAGATCAAAACAACCATGAACAAACACATTAGTACCGACAATCCCCCCAGACTTAACTTGCACCGTCCCGGTGAAAGAAAATCCAATTAAGGGAGTTAAAGAAAGAGGTAATAAAGTGGTTGTGAATGTAAAAAGAAAGATGTAACCTGATTTGGTGTTACTTGAAGAATGGTGAATGCAGTGGAATGATGGTAGTGATGGAATGCAAGTGTGGTGAGGTGGGATGGGTGAGATGCAGATGGAATGAGATGGGATGGTGTGTTGGGCGCTTGAGAGGACATGGGCGAGCTTGGAGAGGTTCTGCTCGGCCATCTAAGGTCGCGCCAACTATGAACATTCTTCTTTGTGGTATATCTTCTTTACCATTGTGTGGTTCTTAGATTCCTGTATCCAAAACTCAAAACAAAACTAGACATTAACTAAAACTAATTGAAAAGAAAAGTAAAGAAAAACACCTTTCATGGGTTGCCTCCCATGCAGCGCTTCTTTTGAGTCATTAGCTTGACTGATAGGATCTCTTAGTTGGAGATGGGGTAAGGGCACGGCCTGAGACATAGTCTTTTAGTTCTTGTCTCATTGTGACCTTGAGTGTGGTCTGGTGGTTCTCTTGGGCGGCCTTGGGCAGTGATGAAGTAAGACAGCTTGTTTGGTGAGATGAATGGTATGGTCTTGTAAAAGACTGTCTTGTCAACATTGGCTAAGGACATTCGCCTGTTTGGAAGGTCCATGACAGCTCCAGCAGTGGCCAAAAAGGGTCGGCCTAGTATCAATGGTGTGTCACATCCTCCTTGATGTTTATGACATGAAAGTCCACCGGGATCTTGATATCTCCAATCTCTAGAAGAACATCAACAACAACTCCTCTTGGCTTGGCTATAGTATGGTTAGCAAGTCCAATACTAATTTGAGCAGGTTGCAAGCGTGTGATGCCAAGGAGTTTGGCGGTTTGGGTTGGCATGAGGTTTATGCAAGAGCCAGAATCGCATAGTGTTCTATCAAAGTAATGACCATTTACTTGACAGGGAATAGAGAATTGACCTGGGTCTTCAATCTTGTAGAGGGTCTTGAAGGTTGGCTGAACTTTAGCTTTCTCAAAAAGCTCTTTGATATCCTCAGGTGTCTCTCTGCAGTTGTGGAAGAAAGGTGGTGAATGGGTAGTGGCGCCAAGCTTGTTGGAAGACATGCTGGCTGGAAGAGTTTGGACAAACTGATTGAACTCAGCAAGCTTCTCTCTTGATATGGAATTGACATACCACTGGGTGGTGGTGAATGATGGTGGTGATGGTGGTTGATTGACTCCATGAGGGGCAAGGGGAAATCGTGCCTTCCTGAAAAAGTTGGTGTATCTCTTCTTTGTTTTCACTAGTTGTGAAAAAGAACTCCACTAGACCATGTTATCCCAAGCTTCTTCAAAAGTGACATAGAATGGAAGTGATTTCACCTTAGCATTGAACTCTTTAAGCTTCATGGGGCTTATCTTGTTGGGATCAATGGGATCATATGCCAAGTATCTTCTTCTTCAGTAGGTGGTGATGGTCTTTGCATTGCTTCCAGTCTTGGAAGTGTAGAAGCTTGACTTCTTGGTGAGAAACGAGGGTCTCTAGGGCTTGGTGTATCCATGCTCTGTTTTGGGGAAGCATTGATGTCGATGCTCTGCTCTTCATCTTCATCATTCAGTTGTTCCTCATACTCTCTTTCTTCTTCTTCATTGTCTTCATGGACTTGAGTAGTGCTTCTTCTTGTGATGGCATTACAATAAAAGGGAGGGTGGTTGGGTGTTGGACTCCTCTCTCTCTTGTAATTGGCATGAGATGATCCTTCAAGGGCTTGTAGGCGGTTGTAGATTGATCCAAGATGTTGCTATTGCCATAGCTAGTATCTTCAATTCTCAAGCTCTTGTTCAGCAACTCTTGATATTTGGAAGCAACATCAAGCTTAACTAGGGTCAAAGATCGATCATGATCCTCTCTTAACTTCTTAATGTCTTCATCAAGCTTGATCACTTGCTTGAATAGGACTTCAGATTTGTTTCCAAGACTCTCATGGATGAAATCGATTCTTCTCTCCATCTTCTTTGTACTCTCTTCTTGATTTCTCAAGTACTCTTGAAGCATATCTTCAATCTTGGTTTGGCGCGCAGCTTGATAGCTCTCCTTGGGGAAAAGTGGTGTCTTGTTTATGTCTGGTGATGATGGATGGTGATTGTGAATAGCTTGGGGCGTGGTGGTGGAACATAAACAGGGACCCTTGGCAAATCTGTGAAGGAAA